AAAATTATATCTTTTGACATTTCTTTTACTAATAATTGTTTTGAAGATATTAATTTTTAAAAAAATGTAAAAAAATTTTTTAAAAATTAATATCTTCAAAACAATTATTTATAAAGCAAAATTTGTTTAAAATAAATCTATTAAAATATTTATCAATTTTTTTAATAATTTCGATATTATTAAAAATTAATATAATATATAATAAATAAGTAAATAAAAAAAATCAAAGTAATAACTTTATGGTCTATACATAAAAATCCCTTTATTTAATTAATTATTATGCTTTAAAAAATCTAATATATTTATTGAAAAGTAGATCAAAAGGTAATCCAAGAATTATAACTTTATAAGTCTACAATATATGATAAAAAAAAATACAATATCAGTTTATTGATTATTAATCATCTAAATATTGATTAGATCAGATCAAATCATAATAAAATTATTAGTATATAGCATATAATTTAATTTAATCTATGTATAATATAAAATAAAATAAAAAAAATTTTTTTATATAATAAAATTAATAAAAATTTACTGTGTATTATTTTTAATGTTTTTTAAAAAATTATAAAAATGCAAAAATTTTCTTAAATTTTTTTAAAAATTAATATCTTCAAAACAATTATTTATAAAAGAAATGTCAAAGGCTATTATTTTGTTAAAAGAGGGTTATAGTTTATATCAGGTTATTGTCAAATTGATAATAATATTTATTATTCTATTATATTTAAACTTAAAAATATATATAAAAAAACAAACAAATTAGAAAATAACCATATTTCTGTTCTGGTTATTATCTAAATTTATTTTATATAAAAAATGTATTATTATTAGAAAATTAATAAATGAAGAATGCAAAATAGTCACAAATATATATAAATCCTGAAAAATATACAAAAAAATAAATATTGGTATTAAAACAATTTAAAGAATTTTTAAGAAATAATAATTTAAAGCATATACATAGAAAAAAAATCCTTTTTGAGTAAGAAGCATAAAAAAATCCAGTTAGAATTTATAAAATAATATAAAAATTGATTCTAAAAGATTAAAGTATGGTAGTCTAGTCTGTTAAGACTAAATTTCAACTTTTGAGGCCCAAGGATGCAAAATATTGTTAGAAAAAATCTATAAAATCTTTAAAGAATTAATACATAATATTATAATTAAATTTAATAAAAATGGTATTAATTTATAGAAATGTTTTACTTACTTTAATATAGGATATTTGTTTAGAATTGAAGAAAAACTTAATATTGATCCCTATAAACAAATTCTAAAAAATGAATTTATGTATTAATTAGATTATTATAATTTAACTCTTAAAAATATTATATTTTAATATAATAATGATTCAAAATATAAGACAAAAATGGTTCAAAAATAAAACTATTTTTTGACCATCATAATCTCTAAACTTAAATTCAATAAAAAATATCTGGAATAATGTAAAAAAAAAAGTTATGATTTAGTTATTAATATTAAGGATAAAAAAACTCTTTTGGATAATTTATTAAAGATCTGGAATCAAACATTTGAAAAAGTTTGTAAGAAATATATAGAAACAATGTTTAAGAGAATCAATTATGTTATTAAAGCAAAAGGTGATTATACAAGATGGTAATAAAATTTATATATATTTGTATAATTTAAAATATAATTTTTCAAAAATAGATAAATAAAAAAAATTTTTTTTAAAAAGCAATCAAAAAATTGTGAAACAGTAAATTTTTAAATAAAAAAATTTTTTATTAATTATGTTACTATTTTATTATACACATTAATTATATCATATTATACTCTATCCATTTGATTAAATTTTAACAATTAAAGATCGACGAACAGGTGTTGCGTTCTTTTTGGCGGACGCTGTACATGATATATACAAGGTATAGTGATACGGAAAATGAATCGTAAATAAAAACCCGCGTTATTTCTTATACTGCGCTGGTAGGCCTCTTCGTGCGGGTTCCAAATCTATAAATTGTGAGATAAATAAACAATATCTACAAACACAAAATAACTTTGCCCGCCTATAATAGACACTCACCAAGATGGCTCCGCCTGTGGTTTTTTAATTTTATTGTAGATTTTTGAGAACCCAACTTAGGGGGAGAATATTTTTTGTGGTTCCTTTTCGTGTTTTTTAACATCATCTATTATCGATTGGGTATTGTCTAGAATTTCTGGCATGTCTAAATCCCCATCATAAAAAAGAGAACCAAATAACCGCTTTTGTTTGTTTATGGTATCATGAATGTAAAAGACAACACTATGGCGAACCCCGGTTATTATTGGAAGGTTCCCGTGGACTAAAAGGTGCGATCTAAAAACGATTGCCTGCCCTTGCTTAGCATTAATGGCTAACTTTAACTCGGGAAAAGTCAATTCTCCACCTTCGAATATCCCTAGAGGACAGACGACACAAAGCGTATTTCTGTGTTCTTTCATTATGGATATACTGGGAAAGGTACCGAAGGATCTAGGAACATTGGGCCCAAGATCGAGTTTTCATTTCGGCATATGGGATTGGGTATGTTTTATCAAAATAGTCGTTAATTGCATTGGAGATGGGTTGGAGTCCTTTTATTAATTCCTGGACGCACGTTTGGTGTTCCCTACAATGGGTGGAAGCGGTGTTTATGGAGGTATATGGCTCGTTATTGCTGTCGGTAAAACCGCCGAAATATTCTATTAGGTCCTTTGAAAATTGTTTGGATTGATGTGATGGATGGTTGAGATTGTGGTTATAATACCGATCCATCGCTACTCGTGCAGATTTTGCAACTGAGAAGTTTGCCAGATCAAAAAAATCGATTATCGTCTCTCCAAAAGCATTTTCAAAGCATTGTGGTTCTCGAACATATTTATACCCGTCGAGGCGAGCACCACCCGCTACCTTTTCTGTCATTTCTTTAGCAATAAAAAGCTTGTCTTTCGGATGTCGTTGTAGGATCCCTGGGATAACATCCAAGTCCAGACTATTTTTATAGGCTTCATGCTGTTGATATGCGTGTAATACTTTACGCCAAAGACGACGGCAATGATTGTGGAATTTTTTATAAAACCGATTATCGGAAGTTGAGAAGCAAGCCCACGATGCAAATTCTTTCCACAACTGCAGATTTGTTGGATTTGGATAGTTATCCCAATTCGGTAATATTAGATTCGCCTTTAGTTTTACCAAAAATCTCGGATTGTAGTAAACGCAGGAATTTTGTTTGTACTTCGGAAGCAGTCAGAATTACTTGGACGGTTTGTGGTGGTAAGGATTTGCTAGAGCCTAGATTTCCGCTTACGTTACTTTTATACAGTTCATTACGAATAGTATCCGCTATAATTTCCAAATAGTGGTTCGATAGAGTATCTAAGTTGAGTGTGAAGGTATCAGCTTTTACGGTACTGGGGAAAAGTAGCCCACGATTTAATAATAGCTTAAAAACTCGTCTTTGCTGTCTTTTTATGATAGGCTTCTCAAGAAATATTCACAATCTTAGTAGTTTTTGAATAATTAATCGACTTAAGATCACTGGAAACAAAATCTTCTGAGACCCATTGAGATTGGATGTATTGGAGGGATTGATTCTTAGTAGATAAACGTGTCTCAAGTTGAATTTTTAATGAAGAGGTGTAATTAAGGTGCGATGCCATGAACTTTTTTCATATGGGAAATAAATTACACTGCAAATATGGTGATTGATATCATGTGACTGTTAATTATAAGTCCCGCGATTATCATAATAAGTGGCTTGTACTGTTTTCATAAAAGTCAACGCAATATGGATTTTTTTAAAAACTGACGAAGAATTGACGTGCGAGGATGTTATAAAGTACTACAAAAAAAAAAAAAAAAAAAATAATGTACATTATAATCTTAAACAAGTTCTTGACAATGTCAGCAAAGACCTCAAGCGAATTGCAAATGATGACTCTGACGCAACACTTAAAGAAAAAGCGCATTCAATATTAACAACTGGGAAGTATGTTTTCAATAAATATTGAAAAGCACAAGGCCTGAAAAAAAAAGCAAAAGGGATAAAGTTAGAGTATGGTCAAGCTGTACACTCTTAGTCGATCGGTTATGAACTCTTAGTTCGTGCCTACTCTTCCTTGGCAGAAGCTGTATAACTCTTAGTTATTCGGTTATGAACTCCTAGTTCCTGCAAAGCCGTACAACTCTTAGTTGCTCGGTTATGAACACTTAGTTCGACATTATTCCCTCAAATGAATTCTGAATTTTGGTATAGTGCACCTAATTTTTATTCTGAGAACTTTGCAAATTCTGGTTTTTTTTTTGCTAGGAATGAACTAAAGACGTAAAGGAGAATAATATGATGCAAGACCTGATCTCCGAGCGTAATATTCTGATGGTATACATCTCTATATCTATTTATGTAACAAAAAATACATATGTTTTACTCCTTTTCTTCCATTACAGGCAGAGCAACATAATGAAGTTATAAGAACAGCAGTAGTTCGTGATCAAGTTGTACGGACTACACTTACCCAGACAACTGGAAAATTTTAAAGACGATCATGTCCAATTATCGGCAAGAAATAAGTGTAATTCGAATGATTTTGAAGAGGGATTCTCGACTCCACCAAATAAAGTCGGTATATAACTTAAAATTTAGCTAGTAAAAACATCTGCTGACACTTTGACTACTTTTGAATGCATAGATCAGAATCTTCAATAGAATGTCCCCGAATGAGAGTCCATCCGTAATAAGAGATTCAAAGATAGTGTTGGAAACTCTTGATGAAAATTTTGCGTTGGATCTAAAAGGGAAAGCTCAACTATCTACCACACCTTTTCTGCCGAAAAAATGTGCGCGCGAAACACAGCAAGAAGCTGAAAAAGATTTTACAGATGAAGACTTGGCGAATTCAGTGATCGATCCCTCCAACACTTTCGGCAAAGTTGAATTTCCGACATATTATAGTAAACTCAAATCTATATGGAACAATCAAGATGCTACGAATTATCATATTATCGATTTAGGGGATAAAGATACATCGCATAAGGTTCATGAACTTTTAGATGAGAATGAGTTAAAATCGTTATTTAACAGGTTAGTGTTGGATGATGAGGATATGCACATACTGTAAATGAAAAGACACGTAGATATATAGAGCTCTTTGATCATATTATGGAGGAAGAGAATGTGGAAGATATTTATGATGACGTAGTTGTGGACGAAGTAGCTCGCAGTGATCTTGTAGGTGAGAATGATGAAGAGACGAAAAACATGGAAGGAGATAACGAAAAGTTTAACGAATCAATTGCTAAAATGGAGGAAATAGTGCATCAGCTGGATTCTTTACCCGAAAAATATCACTACCTATCTAACACTTCCCCTATGTCAGCGCAATATTATGACCATCTAAAATGCCTGATATGTTTATTGTTAAGAGCGTCTCTAGTCACCTTGATACTATCACAAAGATGAACGGTGCCATGAAAAACACCCCTGGACGTACATGGACAGCTCACGTATTAGCATATCAGTCACACGACTTCCTATGAAATTTAAGTGATCGGCATTCATCTGAGAAACACACTTTTAATAATAAACTACAACGGCCGATTACTTTTGACCATAGATTTCGAAGGTTTCTTAAAAAGAAACCTAAATTACGGGATATAGTGCGACGATTCAAAAAATAAATGATATATTATGCATAAGTTAAAACTGAGATAGAGAAAAAAGCTGAGAATAATCTAGCTCATAAAGATCGCTTACCGTTTCATGATATTACAAAGATCGTTTAATACATGGCACTAGTAATTCATAATGATCCTTATTTTGGCAACTTACAAAGATATTTTATAAAAATATATCTAAGACTGTTTAATACTTTTCATGAGTAGATAGTAATGCTGAATTATTACTACTATTAATAATGATAGATCTTGTTTTTAGGATATTCTTTTATTTCGACACGAACTGTTATATGCAGATCTAGATAGTAATTGTTAAGAACTGTATTTAAGATGATATCATTAAATGGGTTCATATACCTAATATCAATCACGATAATGATAATAATGAGAATGATGGTGATAAAGGTAAAAATAAAACTATAATAATAATGATAATAATAAAGGTAAAAATAATGGCTATAATAATTACTATCAAAATTAGTTGTTTAAGTAGAATCTATAGAATTTAATTAAATTATTTGTTTAATAAATAAACAAAATAAATTCAATTTCTACTCACATATTTAGAACATCTTGTGAGTTGGGGTGTATAAGTGGTCATATATTGATCATTGATGTTATCTTGCTTTTCCTCACAAATGGTAATTAAACAATGTTGCTGTTAGTAACCTATATAAGCTTCAGAATTACATAATATGAAAGTCAAAGAGACTAATAAAGACTTACAATTGATGCTATTAAATGAAACTAGTTTGCCTTCAGAATTTGTATTTCAAACATCACACCAAATAAAGCATATAACACACAAGCCCACTTCCTAGTAAATGTGTAATAAAATATCGAAGTACTATAGTTTCAAAAATGCGATTAGATATATACTGTAAATAATAAGTAATCTACATACTATAAAACAGTTTCCTTTTAATCTTCCTCATTACGTTTATAATGTATGACTCCTTCAAGGATACATTTTATCAAAAGCTTTAACTCTAATGGAATTGGTGAACTATTTTTCGTGACAAGATTTCACGAACTGAAGAATAATCTAACAAATGAAGGTAAAAATGATTAACATTTTTAAAAGAACTGCATTCTATGAGAAGACATCAAATTTGTATGTTTTACATACTGTTTTGTATATAGAGACCTCAGAAACAATTTGTCTTAAGAATTTGTTTATTCTTGACTAAAGATTTTATGAATAAAATTAATTGCGATAATTTGTGTAATGAACGAAAATCATATGATAAAATTTTAGATGTGAAAAGTCGTGTGACTGATATCTGTTTTTTGTTACATTTTGTTTTATCGACTGTTACATTATTTTTCATGTGAGCGAAGTATTTCTACAAAAATAGGTGTTCAAGAAAATGGATTTAAAGCTGATGGTGTATTAGAGTTTTTCGAGCGACCCATCCAAATAATCAGGACCCAGAAAAAATTAATGAAGATAGGCAGAAGCTGATGAAAGAGGGTGTTTTTGCCATCAATAAGTTTATGACAAGAACGGGACTGCCAACGTGGGAAGTATGTAGTGCATTGAAGGTTTTCTTGGCTCAAGGATTTGGTAAGTTTTCAAAATGTTTTTGTTCTCACAAACATTTCTTTGTTTTAGTATATAACATATATCACTTATTCTCAGGTGATAATGTTGAAATTGGCCAAATGATATTTATTGGACCTGGATTGTACTTGTTTTCACCGTTTACGATTCCAGCTCTCGTCATCCCAACTTCTACTGATAACTTAGAACTTGTACCTCGACTCATTCGAACACTCTTATGTTTACGACATAATGTTCTTAAGGAGGTTAGGATGTTTGAGATGTTTGCAAAGGAAGAAAGCGACGTATCGCGAAATCTAAAACCAAATATCCAACTGGAGTCACACCAGAACGGCCAAAAGCTGTGACATTTGCAGAATTTTTACCAAAGATATCAAAAGAAGGAGAAAGGAACAGGGGAAGGGGAAGAGGGAGGGGTAGAGGTCGTGGTAGGGGAGGGCAGGATTCCAGGGTTTGATTTTTTAAAAAAATCGAATGAGCACGGTCATAAATCCTAAGAGTATGGTCACGTGATTTAATTCGTTTATAGCATTGCTGTATAAATGCACTTTAACGACACATGTGCATGTTATTTTTTCGCAATAAACAATAAAAAAAATCCGAGTGCATTAATTACTTTTTAACGCTAATTACATGATTAATTCACTATTCGCTATTCGTTAAATGTACGATCATAGAAAATTTAAAGTTTTGAGTGAATTTAATCAATAAGACCCTATTCTCGTAGATGTTCTGTAATAACTACATAAAAAAAAAAAA